TGCAAATGCTGAACATGATTACCTGCTTTTCCACACTAGCGTGGAAAAGAAAACCACAACTTTTTCCATATCCAGTAAGTACATTTGCTTGAAAAGTCTTTTTCTGTTGGGGAAGAATCACTCAGGACATTGGTAAAACATGAGTTTGAAAAAACATTGCTTGAAAGTATTCTTATTATCTCTTTAATGAAAAGGAATGGGTGAGCATTTACTTTGAGATACTTGGGATTCTTCGTTATTTGATACATATCCAATAATTTCTGGAAAATTCCTGAAAGTATCATGTATGTATCACAATTTGCAGAAGATGTAATTAGATCTCAAGAGGAGCTGCAAGCTATGAAACAAGAGAGGTAATAAATGAATGAAAATAGGAGCCTGGAAAAGTTCTGAGACATGAAAAGAAGACGGATGGTTTGGTGCAGGCCTTAGAAATGAAACAAGAGTCATAGAATGTAGGGAGAAGAGAAATGGCCTTAGCATTGAGTGTTCAAATACTGCTTTTATGGTATTGAGAGGCAGGGATTGCACTGCAAACATCCACTGAAGGAACCTCTCCTAACATAAAGTCTGCTTTTTTACAAGCTAAGTATAGTCTCCATTCTATTTGTGGCCCCTAGAAAAGTGTTGGGGCACTTAACAGAAAGCACTGAGACTGCTGAAAAATGTGATAATCTCTCGTGGAGCCCAAGTCTGGGTGCAAGAGGTGAGCATCCTGCCCCAGTAGGCACTCTGTCCTGACTCTCTCCTCTTCCCATAGGCCACTGCTAATCCTGGTCAGGGCTGTTTCTGAAATCCCAACTGTAGCAGACCCATTCACCAGGTGACAAGCTTGTGTAAGGCAACCACGGAAAGACATTTAAACCCAAAGCAATACGTAAACATTTCAATAAAGATAAAAAACAGTCATTGCCAATTTGTTAAGCAGTCCAACAGTTAGTAAAATACTTCACTTATAAAACTAACATTTGAAAATCTGTCTATTTTCAATTGGTTAAAAAAAAAAAAAGAACAAAAGCAAATGCAAACCAAACCCAGATGCAAATGCAAGGATAGTTTAAAAGAACAATCTTTTACAAGAATCTAGAAATATTTCATTACAAAACCTGGAAATAGTGTTAGTGACACCCAACTGTCCTGTCTCCTGACAGTTTCCACCACCGACATTTAGACAAAATATAAGCCAAGATCTAAAAACTGTAAATCATGGAGAAAGCTCTACGTACCATGCAGACTGCACCTTATAGCTCCTGGATGCGCCAGCTGGGAAATCAACTCCTCACTCTCATCCACACTAACAGTAAGAGGCACTCCATTTTTCTCAAGACACAGAACTGTACAATCACCACGACTGGAAATGATTATCTAGTCCAAATGTCCACCTACCACCAATTTTTCCCCACTGAACCATGTCCCTTAGTACAATGTCTAAACACTTCTCAAACATCTCCAGGGACTGTGAGTCAACCATTTTCCTGGGCAGGCTGTTAAAATACCTCACCACTCTATTGGGGAAGAAATTTTTCCTAATATCCAACCTGAATCTCCTCTGGTGCAACTTGTCCTATTGCTGTTACCTGGGAGAAAAGGCCAACCCCACTCACCACAACCTCCTTTCTGAGAACTGTAGAGAGTTGTAAGGTCTCCCCTGAGATTCCTCCAGACTAAACAATCCCAATTCCCACAGCTGCTCCTCATAAGATTTGTGTTCCAGACCCCTCACCAGCCTTACTGTCCTCCGCTGGACACGCTCCGGGGCCTCTGTCTTATTACACTACTCCCCATTCAACACTTTGTGATGGTGTAGATCAGAGGTGCAAAACACACTCAACCAGGTAAGTTAGGTCTGTGTCCTGCTGGTAGACTAAAATAACCAAGCTTCCCAAAAGAGCTGCTAGGGCACAGCAAACTGCATCACCAGCCTTGGGCCTGCCACTCATCTCTTTCCCTGCACTTGGCTTCTGCACTCAGAGTGGCTGGGCAGAGAGGGAGAACCCATAGTGACTGACTGTCAGGAACTGCTGCATGACAGAATGATGCAGTTCAGTGCAGGTAAATTGAGAGCTTTAAGGCAGCCCATTAGAGATAAGACCTTCTGAGGCATACAGGTGGATTTTTTTTTCGTTAACCTTTACAATAGCAAGCAGTGATCTTATACACCAGAAACAGACTTGGAAACAATGTTAAAAACAGCCTTCTTGAACTGATGGGCCAGGGATGCTACTCACTCCCAAATTCAAAAACAAGGGTTGCCTCTGTGAGCAGAACCCAGAACTGCCCCACATCAGACCAGAGCCAGCTCCAGCTGCTCCAAAAGTGAATTGCTGCTGCCAGAGCTGAGCTGTGAATGATGCTGGGTGCAGCTCTGGGAAACCAGACTGAAAACAAGGAAAAACTGCAGTGCAACAGCAGCTGGGAGAGACGAGTGAGATGTGTGACACGAGCAACCCTGCAGGTACCAAGGTAAGTGTAGAAGAAGGGTGGGAGGTGTTCTAGGTGTGGAGCAGAAGTTCCAGTAGCCCAGGAGAGTCCTGTGGAGATGCAGGCCTTACTCATGCACCTGATGAGCACCACAGAAAGTATATCCCCACGTCTAGCCACGAAGGAGCCCGTAGTGGACTAGGCAGAGAGCGACCATAAAGGAGCAGCAGGGATAAAGCATTACAGACCAATCACTGCCCCCATTTCCTGTTCCTCTGTGTCCATCAGGGGGACGAGGCAGAAGATTTGGGCACGAAGTTGAGGCTGAGAAGTAGGGGGTGGATTGGAGGAAGGTGTTTTTAGCTTTGTTTCTCATTATGCTACTCAATTTTTAATTGCAACAAATTAAATTAATCTTCCCCAAGCAGCATCTGTTTTGCCTGTGCAGCCATCATTGAGTGACATCCCTGCCTTTATCTCAGCCCAGCAGCTGAGATCTCATCTTCTCCCTGCGCCTTGCTGTGCAGAGGGAACAAGAGAGCAGCTTGGTGGGCACCTGGCAGCCAGCCAAGGTCAACCCACCACGAAGGCTCAAAGTCTGCCTTTAGAAGCAAAGGAAAGAACAACCGCCACGTTTCTTATGGCTGTTCATGCACGTCTCAAGAGTCCGCTGAGAACTACAGCATCACCAGTGAGACTTCCAAAGGAGTGTCCCATGGAAAACAAAATATTGACAGCACGTATGTGGATGTCAATTCTGCAAAGCTATCTTAAAGTGAAAGTTTTATGCGTTCTGTGTGAATCATTATATACGTAATATATTTTATAGTATAGCGTATTATACATAGCAGATATATCATGCGTGTATACTCTCTCCAGAAATATATATACATGCACACAAACAGCTGGCCATTCTTTACTTCATCTGTCAGAGTGTAAGATAATCGGAACAGTCCCCAAGTAGTAACAGTTGTACTTGCACTGCTAAGTCTGGTTGTGGCAGACCTAATAAATCCATGCACAATGCATAGTTTATATGGGCCCTGTAGGAATTTCATGAACCTAAGAAACTAGTATCTGTCAGTATCACAATGATGGACACAGACTTATCAGAACTTATTTTAGAATTATAATTAAGCATATATATAGCAGACAACTTTTTACGGGTAATATGTTTATTTACCATGTACATTCCAGCAGCCTGCAGGTTGCCAAAAAGCTCTAAACCCGAGACAACTCCTATGAACAGCATCTCATATAATCTGGCCTCCAGATTATTCTCCCTTTAATTGCAAAAAGTATATGAAAACTTTCACTGAAGTACTGATAAATGTTCTCAGCTAGGAAAACTACTTCATTAATTTCAGTACTCAGTGTCAAATGCTCATTTTTCACAAAACAGCGCAAGGCAAAAGAGTGACAGCAACAGCAAAATAATCTGTTTGCTAGGAATTCCCTCCTAGTACACACAGAACAAAATATTTTTGTTGCTGGCCCAGAACTGATAATGAATAGGATATTGTCCAGATGGATATGCATGTCAGTCACAACTTGGCAGATTTCATTGTAAGCAAACATCCCAGTTCAGCAAAGAAATAGCCTTTCCATACTCAACAACTGCAGCAGTTCTTAATACTTTGCTTGCTATGGACACTGGGGTTGGAATCCAGTCGTGGTGCTTCCTTCCTGGAGATACTCAAGGCCTTAGGTTTGATGGGGCTTTGATCAACCTGGTCTAATGGGAGGTTTCCTCGTCAGAGGGGTTGGAAAAGATGATCCCTGAGATCCCTTCCAACACAAATCACTGTATGATTCTGTGATCTTTTAAGGTCTCTTCCAACCTAAGTCACTCTAAGATTCAATGATTAAGAGTATGTCCCGCTGTGCAGTGTAGCTGTGTACTTTTACCATTAAAAGGAGCTCCAGGGATATGCTCAGAATGTGCCAGTGGGAGAAGCACTGTGGTTAGCCCACCAGTGACTGAGCTAGAAAGCACAAAGCTGTGATCCAGTACATCAACTTGTACCCAAATTGTGACACAAGGGTCTGCCCTGGACACCTACTCTGAGCAGTATGCACCTGCAAAACCCCCACATGGATTTGTGCACAAAGAGAGCTCACAACAGAACATGCCAAGAGGATGTGCACCTTTCCATCTCACAAGTCTTAAAGTTCCATTTCCTCACCCACCATCTCTGCTCCATTCCACGTGTAACCAGAGGCTCACCCCCACAGAGGCACACCAGCCACACACACAGCCGCGCACCTCATCTTACCAACCACGGGCGCTCAGTCACACCCCACACAGAACAGCTGTCCTGTGCATCACGCCGCTGATCATAGGAACTCTTTGGCCATCGACACACACGCATACGCTCATACCCACGCATCGCGATACGCCCAATATCAGCAAAGCCGCCGAGCAACACTCGTGCTCACACCCTAGAGGTGCGGTGTGAGCGGTGCCCCAGAGAAGCCCGTGCTACACGCGGTGCTGCGTGCACGTGCGATGCGCTGCACTGCACACTGTCACCCTCCGTGTGTGCGCGTGTCCGGACGGGACGCAGCCGCCCCACTACCTGCCGAAGTGACCCAGGGAGTCGAAGAGCTGCTCGGAGCCGGGAGCCATGGCGGGGCCGCGGCCTCAGTGCTGCTGTCCCGGCGCTGCGGGGAAGAGCCACCGGCCCGGCCCGGCTCCCCACCCCCTGCGGCCCGCCCCGCCCCGTCCCGCGGCCCGGGGCTCCCCGCGGGGGCCGTTCCGAGGGGAGGCCCCGGACGTGGTCCTGCGGGGTTCGAGGAGGGGTGCCTGAGGGACTGCGGGCCGGGAAGCGGAGAAGCGGCCCTGACAGTTCGGCAACGTGCGGGTGGTCGCGGTCTCGGTACTGCTGCGGTGGGGACGGTTCCGTCCCTCACCCGGACCTGAGAACATTCACATCCCTCACGCAGACCGTCCGCCTCAGATCAAGCTCTTCCTTCAGGGCTGGACTCTGCCTGTCCCATCAGGCAGCTTTTTTTTTTTTCTTCTTTTTTTTCTTTTTTTCGCTTCATCCCCCCCCTCCTCCCCCCTCCTCTCCAAATTAAATTATATGCTTCATTCCTCCTGTGGCAATCAATAACGATCTGCTATTTCAGGCTCCAGTGTGTTTTGTACAGATATTTTCAGTTAAAAGAGGGGATACATTTTTTCCCCACAGGACATTATCTGCATGCTATCAAGAGTTACTTCTGGTTGCCTTATGATCTGCCCTGTTGTTGGGATACATTATGTTGTAATGAGTTATATGATTATTTTTTTCCCCAAAAAGTATGGCACATAATGTAAAATAGTATTATTCACTGAATGTAAAATATGCAACATGTCCCATACAGCATCATTCACTAGTACACTAACTTATAATTAAGCCTTAATTATATTTGGACCTAATATTCTGCCTTCCCTGGAGCAGGACAAGATCACAGAATTATAGAATTATAGAAGCACAGAATGCCTTCGGTTAGAAGGGACCTGCTGTGGGCAGGGCTGCCACCCCCCAGTTCAGCTGCCCAGGCTCCCATCCAACCTGGTCTTGAGCACCTCCAGTGATAGGACACCACAGCTTCTCTAGGCAGCCTGTACCTCACCACCATGGAGTAAATAATTTCCTCCTGATAACTAATCTAAATCTCCTCTCCTTTAGTTTAAAACCATTCACCCTTGTCCTATCACCATCTGCCCATACAAAAAGTTGATTTCCCTACTGTTTATAATTTCCCTTTAAATATTTAAAGGCCATGATGAGGTCTCCCCAAAGCCTTCTCCAGACTGAACAAGCCCTGCTACCTCAGCCTGTCTCCACAGGAGAGGTGCTCCAGCCATTTGACCACCCTTGTAGCCCTCCTCTATACCCTCTCCAAAAGCTCAACATCTTTCCTGTACTGGGGGCCCCAGACCTAGACACAGTACTCCACCTCACAAGGGCAAAGTAGAGGGATACAATCACCTCCCTCTCCCTGCTGACCACCCCTTTTTTGAAGCAGTCAAGGGTATTCTTGGCCTTCAGGGCTGCAAGCACACACTGCTCACTCATGACAAATTTCTTTCATCTAATAGGACTACTGTGAAGGATTTTTTCTCCCAATCTTTATATATATATCCAGGATTGCCCTGAGACAAGTACAACATTTTGCACTGGACTTTGTTGAACCTCATTCGTTTTACATGGGGCACCTTTCAGGTTTGTCCAGGTCCCACTAGGTGGCATCCCTTCCTTCTATTGCATCAATTGCACACCTTAGCTTGGATGAGATAACCCATTTAAAGCTGCTGGAGAATAAGCAGGACAGATGACAGCAGAAGACCTTAGTGCTGTACAAACACGCTTCAGCCACCCAGTCACTCCTGTGTGACAATTAGGAAAGGTACAGAGAAGAGCTATGGTGGGTACAACCCTCAGGTTTAAGATTTCCCTCCTCCTCTTCCAAGTCTGAAGGTGTCCTTGCACAATATGGGGAGATCATAGAACCACAGAATCATTTGAGTTGGAAGGGACCCTTAAAGGCCATCTAGTCCTCCCCTGAAAAAAACAGGGACATCCACAGCTACATCAGTGTGCTCAGAGCCCCATCCAGCCTGACCTTGAATTGTCCAAGGATGGGGCATCCACCACCCCGCTGGGCAACCTGTTCTAGTGCCTCATCACCCTTAGTGTAAAAAACTTCCTTACATCCAATCTTTACCTCCCTTCTTTTAGTTTGAAACAATTTTCCCCTTGTTCTAACACAAGCAGGCTTTGCTAAAGAGTCTGATCCCTTCTTTCTTATAGTATCTAAAGGAGATACTACAAAGCTATTATCAGCTCTCCCCAGACATGAAGATAGGCCAGATCCACTCTAAAGCCTCCTTCCACCCCAAACCATACTGCAATGCTGCAATTGCTGGAAGGCACATTTCCAGCAGGCTGCATGAAATAACCCCTGGAGATTTTCTATTAATCCACTAAAGTCAACCTTCCTTTTCAAAATGTGATCCAAACACTTCTAACAGTACCTTCCCTGCTAGCCTACCCACTTTTGCAGGGAGATGTGTCTTTAAAAGGCTCTGGCATCAACTGAGTGCACAACTGCACCTCTGTGCAGATGTTCATGCAGTGCAGTGACAATCTGTTCCAGCACAGACCTGGAAAAAGCAGATGTTTGTCAGACTTCTTGGTCATGAGCAAACAGCACATTGCACCACAAGGAATCTGAGGATCAGGTCCAGCAAAGGATTCCTCCTCGCAGCTACTGCAGTGCTACACCCATCTCATACTCCTTCGGAAGGCTTTACTCTGAGAAAGCTCTACAGCTCTCTGTCCACATCTGCATTGGATTTTTTTTAACACAAAGTCCGAGGTTTGTTTTTGTTACTTTCTTGGGGTATGTGAAGTCTAAGGGACTTGTTTTCTTTTTTCTTTTTTTTTTTTTAATGTACACCACGTGATTTTTCCCTTAAAATATCAGCATTCATTTGAATCAACCTTGTTTTTTTCTGGAGCATATTTTTTCCAGTTGAAGTGCTTGAAGATAGCACTGGTACATTCACAAAGCATTTATTTTTCCCAAGAGCCACTCTAGTTTAAATAGTTGTTTACAAAAACAAACAGCAACAAATAGTAAACACTCTGGCTACGTAATGCCTTCCTGCTTCTCTGCCTGTTTTTAGTGTCTTGCTCCTACACCAAGTAAACTCATTAGGTTTCTACAGCACAATGGTATCAGGAAGATCTATTTTTGGTGTAAACATCAAGCAGGAAATAGCTAAGTCCCTTTCAGTACCATTTTTTACATCTGAAACGATCCACAGTTGTCACTTTGTGGAATCTCTCATAGACATTCTTGCACACATTTCTCTCTATATCTGCATTTTAGATAATATGACTTTATGGAAGGAGACTGACTTTTTATGTGGTCTAATAGCAATAGGATGAGAGGGAATGGTTTTAAACTAAAGGAGGAGTGATTTAGATTAGACATTAGGTGGAAATTTTTCATTCAGAAGGTAGTGAGGTACTGGCACAAGTTGCCCAGATAAGCTGTGGTGCCCCATGCCTGGAGGTGCTCAAGGCCAGGTTGAATGGGACCTTGGGCAGCTGAGCTGGGGGGTGGCAGCCCTGCCCAAAGCAGAGGTTGGAACTGGGTGGGCTTTCAGGTCCCTTCTAACCCAAGCTGTTCTGTGATTCTATGATTCTATAATTACATGATTTACTGCTCATAGCAGAATAAAAATAGAAAAATTGCACCCGCTTCTACTGAAGTTAATTCCAAACACTCATGTCTGTTTTCAAAAGTTATTAATGTAACATCTGCAATGCCAGCTCTCTTAAACATGCAGTGATCAGAGATTCACCTTCTTTCTTTTTCAAGCCTCAGAAGATGCACAACATGCTTTAAGCCTGCCTTCCAGGAATTCCTGTTACAGCAATTCCACGTGAAGCAGTAACTGTGCTTTTTAGTCACATCTCGCTGAGATGTTTTTCACCAGGGTGACCTAAAAACATAGAGGTCCTTTGCTGACTTTGTTCACAGACAGTACACAGCTCTCTAGCTTCTTGCGGCATGATAAAGTTGCGCTACACAAGCACAAGCAGCATCTGAAGAAGTGGAAGATATCTCTAATTACAGTGTGTCAAAATGAGACCATCCACATCTGTGCTCCACCCAGTTTAGAATTTTAGGGATTTTTTTTTAGCAGAAGGAACTGGAGATGTTGTGATTCCTCTCTTACAAAATCTTTGGAAACCACTGGGGTGAGAAGATGGTGAAAATGCTTTCCAAGGTATACCAGAGGTTTCAAGAGTTGGTCTTTTAATCCCAGAAGGGGTTAAAGGAAATATTCAGAGCCACATCTCAAAAAAGCTTCAGTTACAAATTTAACCTCATTTCTGGCATTCACAGATAGGTTGGTGCTCAACAGAGGCACTCAGTATTGCACAATCCTTGAGGAAGAAGTGATCTTAATAACTTGCAATGGGAGAAGAGATGGTTTATAGAATGATCTCCTTTGGTTTGACACTCTCACTAGGAAAAATCCAGTGTCGACTGGTGCAGACTGTTCTGCCCTCCCCTTCTGTAAGTTAAATTAGTGTCACCAATATATGAGACGTGTACAAGGAACATGCTTCTCATGTGAATTTCGGTACACGTTCTAATGTGCATGTACACGTATGCTGAGCTTTGAATTACAGCTGAACTCTAAATACAGAAGTAGATCACTGATAGCATCTACCAACCCTTTTTCACAGCTCCATTGAGGAACTGATTACCTAATTTCCAAGCCATCTCTTTCCTGCTCCTTCTGACGTGGCTTGTAACCCACAGGTTAGGAGCAGTTTTTACAGAGTGCTGGGACTGCAGCTGTCAAGCAGCAAACGGGTGAACTGACTACTGCCACAAGCACTCAAGTCAAGTGTATGAACGGAGTCCAACCCTGAGTGGTCTCCAATATCTGTTTTTGGCACACGAATGAAAAAAAAAATAAAACAAAAACCCACTAAAATAATTTGTAAGATAGCTTGAACATAACCTTCTCACCTCTTGTTTAGAAGTTACCTGTCTCTGTTCCCTTCCGTGGAAAGCAAGCAAGTGACTCCTAGTTGTATTGTGGACGTCTGCAAGGATCCATTTATTTGTGACACCTTCCAGTGTAT